TTGTTGTTGTTGTTGTTGTCTTTTTGAGACAGGATCTCCCTGTAGCCCCAGCTGGCCTGGAACTCACTTTGTAGATCAGGGTGGCCTCAAACTCAAAGATCCGCCTGCCTCTGCCTCCCAGTGCTGGGATTACAGGCGTGTGCCACCACGCCTAGCTCGATGATCACTTTTATAATCAGATTTTTGTACGTGCATATAATAGTTTGTTTAGAGTAAATTACTAAAGTGATTATAGACTTTAAGTATGCACCTTTTAAGCTAATAAACATTGCCTCTCTGAGACAGAATTTCACTATGCAGACCTGGCTGGCCTGGAACTTGCTAGGTAGATCAGTCTAGCCTCAAACTCTCAGAGATCCACCTGCATCTGCCTCCTGAGTGCTGAGGTTAAAGGTGTGTGCCACATGCCCAACTTGACTGTTCTTGATTCCTCTAAAACGACAATTTCAGAAGGCTTGACTTAGGTTTCTGAAATCCAGATAATTTGGCACACCTGTCTGAAATGCAGGTCGTGCTCTCTCCACTGCTGTTGTAAGGATGTAACACATCTCTTCTACAGCTCCTTTAAAGAGGCTCAATAAAGATTTGTAGTGTTTTGCCCTGTTACTATATACTTAAAAAATTTTTAAGCTTTGCAGAATGATAATTTGATAAGTATGAACTATGAATCTTAGAGAATTTAAACATTTATAACCTAGTGTATTTGTCAGGACTATGGTCTAATCATTATATTTTTTAATGCAGTCAGCTTCCAGCTAAATAGCACTAGGGAACAAAAGTGCCTGTACATGATGGGAAGGAATGCATCATATCAAACACAGTAAACCAGCCAAACTCTCCTAGTGATGGGAGGAAAAAGACAAATGCCAGTAGTTCAACCAGAATAGCAGCTCACAAAACCGCAGGAAATACCGGACCACTCTCAATAATGACTTTAAATGGAAATAGTTTCAACTCACTAATTAAAAGGTGCAGACTAACATGACAAAAAATATATATCCACCTGCCCATTGTCTGTAAGAAGCATACCTCACTGACAGACATGATGTAGAGCAAAGGTGTCGGTAGATGCCGTGTGCCATTGAATGTTGTGAGGTGTATGTAATTTTAGTTTCTTGCTAGTTTGGGAGGTTGGTGTTGTGTCAGGTGGGTGTTCTGAGAGCCTCTAGTTCAAAACTCCTTGCCCTAGAGTCTAAGTTTTGCAGGTTTCTCTTCTGAGGTTAAATATTGATCATTGGCTAATGATGGTGTTTATGATTCTTCCATGAATTCTTAGCTTAAACAATCTTACTGAGAGAGCATTTTATTTGTGAGAGAAGTACAGATGAATCTGTGTATATGTATACATGTTTGCACATGTATGTGTGTATATGTATACATGTTTGCACATGCATGTGTGTGGAAGCCAGAGATTGATGTCTCCTTCTGTTGCTGTCTACTTATTTTATGAGACGGGGTCTCACTGAACCTGGAACTCACTGATTGAGCCACACTGGCAATGAGAAAAAAGTGTGCCATGAATACATAAAATAGATAATAGTTTTATAATTTATTATAAAGTACACACAAATAAATTATAAAAGATTAAAAGTTAACAAACTTGCACACTTAAAACTGTACATGAAGCTAGGCATGGTGTCTTATGTATGTAATCCCAGCATTTGGGAGGCTGAGACAAGAGGGTTGCCATGGATTTGAGGCTAGCCTGGGCTACACAGTGAGCTGTAGGCTAGCCTAGGCTATAGAGTGAGACCATGTCTCAAACAGAAACCAAAATCATATATCACACTATTTGCAGTTGAGTGTGTGAGGAGAATTGCAAACAAAGGCGAGGTATTAAATCCTGACTGAGTAACAGTGATTGCAGTGATGCCCTGTCCTGCTGTGGTGGTTTCCTGTTGCTGACCAGCTAGCTCAGATGCTGCTGGAATGTGCTCCAAGCCCCAGGGAGGTTCTTCCCCCTAAGCTCTGTCGTAGCACAGTGCCTCCCCCCCCCCATGGTTCTAGTGTTCTTTGTTACATGCAGTACATGGAACATCAAGTATGTGGTAGTTGACTGTGTTAACCTGTGGAGCTTCTGATTAACAGAAGGCTATTAGGTGCTTGGACAATGAAGCATATTTTTGGATTTTTCAACTTGGAGTATAGCAGGGTTGGCACTGGTTAACTGTTGTTCAAGGGTAAAATCCAAGCAGTCACCACCATTCATTAGCCCACGAATTCCTCAGCACCACACAAGAACATCTGTTCCTAGATGTGGTTTAGGTTAGGAGCAGGCAGATGGAATGGTGAGATGATGGAATAGCTCTGAGCCCTATGGTAAGTTGAGGTTGACCATGTTCATCAGCCTACTGACCTGTCCTGTGGGAAGTCATCTCTGCACTCTAGTCACTGGTTGTGGTTAGTATACTACTTTGTATCCTGCCAATAGGCTGATGTTTTGGAGTTTCAGTTTTAGTCATAGTAAAGAACTGAACTGACCATTTGGCCCTGATTGAGCCTGGCTGAAGCTCTTGGAGGAAGCCACTTGTTAGTTCCTGCTTCCCAGATCCCTGGAGCTGGTCTGGCCCCTGAGCTCTTTTTCTTCGTGTCTGTGAGCTATCTCATATCCTCAGAAAAAGTGCCTTTTGCCCTCTGTCATTTAAGTTAACAAAAACCAGTTTCAATTGTTTTTTACCCAGAGCTCTCTACCAGTAAAGACTTAATGATTCTAATTCTTATTGATGCTGTTGTTTTTTTGTTTCTTTCCTTTAAAAAAATGAAAATAAAAAAACAGCCAGAGACTGCTGCTGCTTTGAAACGTACAGTAGAGGCCCTGCTGGACCGAGGAGCCATAGTGAGGAACCTGGAAAACCTGGGCGAGCGTGCACTTCCTTATAGGATCTTCAGCCACAACCAACAGCACAGGAGAGGGGGGTAAGTTCCTTCATTAAATGTTCTTGGCGAGCTCAGTGAAGAATACTGATTAATCCTAGAAAGTGTCATAAGGTCACAGTCAGGTCATGGTTGGGTGGCCTTCAGATATTACTTACCAAAGCAGTGCGTGTGGCCAGTGAGATGCAGTTATGTTGGTCCTCAGTAGACTAGTCAGAATGGAGAGAAGCCGTGCTGGAAGCATCAAGTTTATAGGCTCCGACTTGGGGAAGCATTTCTTGTCAACCTGAATACTATTTTCCCCTGATGTGTCTTGAACTTTTGCTTTCAGAGCACCTCTATGAATAATGTGTTGTCCAAATACACAAGAGCATCCATTGTAAATACGTAGGTTGCAGACAAGACGTCTTCTGACCAGAGCCTACTCACGAGAGAAGAGCTTGAGCAGGTTTCTGTCCTGGCATTCCTTTCTCCAGGGGTAGAGAACTTGGCACTCTTTGTGCCTTGGGCACATCTCTTTGGGTCTCTGGGTCCAGCGTCCTTTGGCGGTGTCCTCAAGTTGTAGTTCTCTTATTCTGCTTGTCCTGGGGAAGAAGAGGAGAAGGATCTCCAGCCGTGCACTGGGGCCAGGATGCTGCTCTATTCGTGTGGGTCTCATGGTGTGGGCCCTGCACTGAGGCATCACACGTTGAAGCCTGCAACTGCGATGTGGCACACTCCGCAGACCTCCTCACTGCCTCACCTTGTTTTGTGCTAGTGTTTAGCTCCTTGAGAGCATCTCACCAGAGTGCCTGAGTGTTGCTAGGAAACAGGAAATGCACAGTGGCTGGGCTTCTTCCACAATCATAACAATGAGGGATGGAGATTGTGGAGTTGGGGAGTGGCAGCGGAGGGAGGTGGTGGTGGTGGTGGTGGTGGTGGTGGTGGTGGTGGTGATGTGCACATTCTTTCCTCCTTTTTTTGTCTTAGTCACAAATTGGTGTGACTTTAGCAGCAGGACTGTGGAGTCTTTGGCCTTTTTGTTTAAAAGGAGCACATAAAATCTGGCCAGGAATTACTAGCTGTTGTGTGGAAGGCACTGAATGAGGAGAAAAGTCAGTTTCCTCCTCCATGCAGTACGTTTCAGCCAGTCCAGTAAGAGCGTCTCAAAAGTGCTGCCCTTTCCTTTCAACAGGAGTACTCCTGGCCCTGGTGTTTTAACTGGAATGTGTGCCTCCTCAGCTGTCTGGGTGCTGCAGACACTGCCTGCCCAAGGAGTATACTTTGAGGGCTCCTATCTAAGCTCACTGGCTCCATGTGGAATGCTGGAGATACGTATGGTGGGGTGCTGCCCAACCAGGTGCATGTGCCCACCAAGGACTATGTTCTGGTCACTTTGGTTGTTGGCATTGCAAGATTTTATTTCTGGTTTCTCTGTTTCAGTACCCCCAGCAAAGGAACAGCAATCTTTTTGTAGTGTATGGCAAGTTTATATTATGTACAAACACAGAAATGGGATTCCTAGTACATGGGGGGAAGGAGTTCAGGATTTAGACTTTTTTACTAAGGTAAGTCAGTGTATATTTGTTTAATGTACTATTTTCAAAATGCAGTATCTAAAAAACTAATTTGCAGAGATGCTCGAACAAAAACCAAAAATGGGGTATGTGATATCCAGGTAGATGTGAGAAGAAGCCTTACATGACCTCATCCCTTCTAAAGACTTACATTGCTATATAATTGGTGAGGAGCTCTTCAGTAAGAAGTGCTTAAGTGCTTATAAATTACAGAGGCCAGAAGAGGATGTTGGATACCCTGCAACTGGAGTTAGTTTGTTGTGAGCCACCCAATGTGGGTGCTGGGAACTGAAATGCTGGTCCTCTGAAAGAATAGCAAGCACCCTTAACCATTGAGCTATCTCTCCAGTTGCTATGTTTTTGGGGGTTTTTGTTTTGGTCTTTTTGACACAGTCTCCCTGTAGCCCTAGCTGACCTGGAACTTGCTATATAGACCAGGTTGGCCTTGAACTCACAGAGATCCACCTACCTCTGCCTCCTGAGTGTGGGGATTAAAGGCATGCCTGGCTAACATCACACTTTTTAATTAGTCTTGGGTACATACGTGTTTGGAAGTGTAGGCATGCACATGCTACTGTGTGTGTGGAGGTTAGAGGACAACTCTTGGGTGTTGGTTCCCTCCTGCCACCTTGTGGGATCTAGGGATTGATCCCAGGTCATCAGGTCTGTGTGCAAGCTTTCTACCCCTTGAATAGTCTTAAGTGGCCCAAATATGGTACTTTGATTTTATAACACCCATGAATATTTTTCATAGTGGTTTTTGGTAAATGGGCATATGAGGGTGAGTGTATTTGGAACTGTTTGTGCTAAGGTTCAGAATTGGGTGATATTTCTAGATGTCTGCATTGGGGCGCTTCAGCCAGCCCCCTTCTCTCCACTAGCTCTACCCTCTTTGTAGCAGGTACTGTCTTCATTTGACAGATTCTTTGTCTCTGCATAACCAGGAAGGTGTAGCAGACATGTTGCTAGGTGGAATATATGCCAGGGAGGATAGACTTGCCAGTTAGACATTTAGCATTTAAAATTTTGGTTCATTTTCAACAGCCCTGGAGGCTCTGGCATGTACTTGCACTTTGGGCAAGGCTCTGATTCAGATCTTCATGCTGTGTGCAGGAGTTAATGCGTGTTTTAACTGGCTAATGAATGGGTCTAGATGTCCTCTGAGAACCCACATTCCATGTGGTGCCCTGATATCATGTATTCCAGGAGATGTGGTAGGGCTCAGTGGCATTCACAGGTGTCAGATGATGATTGTGGTTGTCATGGTTCCTGGTGTCTAATGGAGACGGTGGCAAGGGAGTGTGGACAGAGGTGCTCTGCACAGTAGGAGTAGTGCCAGGGACAGGGCTGACAACCAAGGCTCCTGCCACCTAGGGATTTCCAGCATGCTGGGGGCTTGCCACTGCCCTTCTCCCTCCCACCTCCTCCCCAAATCAGCCCCGTGCTGCACACATGCCAAAGAGGCTGAAGGAAGGGGGTAGGTAGGAAAGTGCTTGGGTGGAAAGATAGTGCTGCTCTGGGGCTAGGTGGAAAGTCTTCCCAGAGGAGGAGGACACACTTTATAAGCGGCCCCTGGTATTTATTATTTAGTAGTATCTCAGATCTATAACCAGTTCATGCCCTAAATAAAAATGTTATTCTAAATACTGATTTGGCCAGTCCCCATTTTAAAAGTAGGTTCTGTTCCAGAAATTTGTCTGTAAATCTGTGTTTATAACTGGGAACTTGTTTTCTCACCATAACATCTTGATGGTTAATCCTCAGGCTGATCCACAGAAATTGGCTTACTTATAACCTCAGAAGGCCAATAGAATCTGGTGGGTCACTCATGTTCAGGGACCATTTTCAACTTGAAAAAAAAAAGGTTATTGTGTTCCATCTGGCTGCAGAGTGGGGCCTGGTCTGATCACTCTGAGCAGGGATGAAGACACTGTCTCAGATACCTGTGACTTTTATGTCTACTATTTTTCTATTTTCCTGAAGGCAACTATGTCCCAGATCAGTTGCCCTGCCAGGTTGTAAACTTGGGGGCAAAGCAGAAATGGCCAGATCCCTCTGCTGCTTGGGCCAGGTAGGAATGGTTGGAAACTTTGGGTCTCCTGGATCAGTTTTTCAGATGGAGATGGCTGGCTTCAAACCTGTTAGCATTGGGCATTGTGTAGACACAATGAGAGTACAACTCAGAGCTGGGGGTCTTTGAAGGACTGTGAATCAATCCTAGCCCTCAGTTTGCTTTGGTCTCTTTCAGGCCTCTAAACTATCTCTCCTTGTACCTTCACATGGTCACCCTGAAGCCCGTCAGTTCAGGGGGGAAGGCAACTACCTGCACGCCTTGCTGTTTAAAAGGGAAGCGGTTCTCACTGCAGAGGGAGCAGTGGGAGCAGGCACTCCTTAGACCCCTGCTGAAATGTTCCAGCATCTTCCTGAGTCCTAGTGCTGTCCCAGGCAGAACACCACAGCCACTCACTTCCAACTGTACTGTAGTACCCTTTGAAGCTCTTTCCACTAGATGGGGCTGGGTGGAGAGTGATTGCTAGAGCAGAACTATCTTTCAGTGCCGAGCTTGTGTGTGCTGTGTGAAAGATGCCTCAGGTGGCTTTGACTCTCAGGCCACGTTTCATCAGACTGTTGGGATAGTGGTCTGACCTCGATGTCTGTGAGAACTCAGTTGTGAAAGGGGTTCTTGCCTTAAATTTGGAGAGGTGCTAATGGCAAAGTTCTCCTGGCCTACATACAAAATACCCTTCTATTTACGGGTAAGCAGAATGATTAAAAATAACTGGCTTTGTGGTGAATCAGTGGAATTTTACTGACTTGCTCCCCAAATGTGTCTGCAACTTACTTACTCTTGAGAGCTCTGGCACCCACTCTAGAAGAGATTGATTTTCCTCTGTAGTTTTCCTTTTAGCTAACATTTCCATGTTCTTGTGTTTTCCTGCCAGCATTAAGTCAAGGCCAGCATCCTGACCCCATTTTTGTGTGTAGGTGCTCTGCAGCCCCGTTTTGGGGTAAGGCTTCTGTGTCCTTGGAGGTCTCTTTTAAGTGACAGAGGCCCAAGATTTGTAGGACTCTGCAATAGGATTATTGGTTTTTAAAATGCATGAGACCCAACAGATAGAAAAAGGACTGGGGCTTGTCCATGTAGAAGGTCCCTCAGCTCTAAGGTGAATAATTCACTGCCTCTGTGAAGCCTGAGATCAGAAAGGTTTAACCAAGACAGCCTAGGAACCGTGCAGCGTTCACAGATCCCGCTCCTTCTTCTAATAGACTCTAAGATGCTTCAGGAGATGCTGCAGAGCCCTCCCACCCCTCCCCCATTCCCACCCACAGGGAGCCAACGAGCGCTTCAGTGGAAATTTCCACTATCTGCCAGTGGGAAGGGGAGGGTGTCTGAGAGGGACAGAGACAAAGAAAATAACTCCACTTCAAACAGACTCTTTTTGTGGGAAGCTTGTGAATACGGGGTTCAGACAAAAGTGGAATTGGGACGAATGCAACCTTTATATTTAAAAACACCACAAGGAAACACATTTCCTCCATTAATACTTCGAATGTGGGGCTGGGGGCTCAGCTCTGGTCAGTGATGCAGCCTTGTGTCAGACACTGACCATGGTGGTGAGGGCATTGAAGGAGTGGCAGGACACCGAGAGATGCAGGTTCCGTGGGAGAATTGTTTATCAGCATTGGGCATGCTCTGATCTGTGAAGACATTTCTCTGGGTCCGAGTTCTGTGTGGTTCTTGTAGTGGTGAGTTTTGTAGTGTGAACGTGTCTTAAAGCCAGAGGAGGGTGATTGGTACCCTTACACCATTTGGGCAGGTCTTATCTGGGAAGCGGTTCACTGCTCTCCAGCTTTTGAGCCTTGCATCTTTAATGAGCTGTGCTTTAGTGTAGTGAGCCTGTCTTGACACCACCCCCCCATCTCCTTGTTTGGTGTCAGGCATCTTGCTGCTTCCACATCTGCAGTATTGGGGTACAGTTCTACAGAGAAGGGATGCTGGGGAAAGCTGCTGTCAGCCTTGCAGATGAAAAGGTTCTGTAATTAGAACCACACATGGGAGGCATACCTGGAAACATGCGTACTGTGGGGCCCTGTGCAAGGCCGTCATCGTGCCTGTTGTGCGGTGCTGCTTCCCTTGCATGTGCGGCCTGTGAGTGGAAGTGCTGGACGTGTGTGGTGGATTAGAGTGTACACCAGTGTGCTTAGTGTTTTCCAAAGTGACCGGTCTACTTACTGGTTCAATCACTGATTAAGTTTTCCATTTTCTATTTGTATTCTAATCAGTGACTTATTTAGAGTACTTCATTATGATTTCCTTATCAGAATATGAGCTTTAGGCCTGTGTGGGCAGCTGTAGACTAGTCACAGTTCCCAACCGGTCCACCTTGAGTGAGGCGCTATGGTGAGGAGAGACAGGAGACTCCCAGTGGTAGGACGTCTTCGTTTCATGTTTTGCTTCTGCCTGAGTTCGTGAGAGCAAGGACACTGTCCCACTGTAGCCCTAGGTATCTTTGTTCCTCTCTTCTAGGGCAGAATGCAAGTGGGGAACTCCGAGCCCTTCTTTTAGCCTGCCTTGAACCCTGCTCCCCTGCGGTCCAGTTGTGGCAGCCTCCAGCAGCATGTAGGGAGTTGGTATCAGAGGAGGGCCAAGCTGTTCTTTTCAGTCTGAGTCTCCTTTTTGTCTTTATAGACTTGGGCTATCAGGGGTAAGGGAAGCATACAGGCCTCAGAAACGGTCCCAACTCCCAAGTCCATGTAGGTGGCACCCAGCTGTACGGGGGTCATTTCTCTCTTTCCTCCCCCTTTTCAGTGAAAAGGCTCGTTCATTGCTCTGGTCATGTGTAGCCCACAACTGGGTGTGCGCTGCTGTAGCGTGGCAGGAATGGGAGTCTCGTCAAAGTCATGGAAGTCTGGACTTCTACTTCAGAGCTCTGGTGACTGGTTTCCTCACATGGACTGGGCAAAGGACTGTACCAGAAGGCCAAAGCCCTGTGTGCCTTGTTACATCAGCATCCTAAAGCTTACCTGTGGTACATCCTCACTGACCAGCTAAGTCTGCTCAGATAAATAGTTAAGAAAAAAAGAATACTGACTGGAAGCAACCAGGAGACGGTCAGGCTCCGTTTTGTGTGACAAGAACGCGTGGACTGACCTCTGAAGCACACGTACTGAGTGTGTCCTGGACTTCTGCTTGGTTCTTTCATAGTAGGGAGGGGTAGCATGGTTCCCAGGGAAGGGGAGATAGGGAGGGTCAAGGTTCAGTTTTCAGGAGAGGTGAATACAGTATATTTGCCCATCCCAGAGCTACTTCCCTCTTTCTCTGGTGTTTCCTTTTTGTGGAAATTTCCATGGTGTAATAAGGAGCCAGGGGAGTAGAAGCAGTGTTTGCCCACATCAGCCCCAGGCACAGATCAGCAGTGTGATAAGCTTGAAGTGGCAGCCACATGGTGTGGTTATGGGCACAAACCCACTTGCAGTTTGGCCAGAGCTTTTGTTTGGGTTTGGTTGCCAGAGGACTGGAAGGCAGGTGGAGGTGAGTTGAGAGGGTAAAGATCACAGGGTTTGGTAGCAGTAGGAGTCTGGGAAGCCAAGCCACAGCCCGATCTTAGGACATTCAAGCCTTTATATGGGCTTTACAGTTACCCTTGAGAAGCCTGGAGAGTGCTAGTGCTAGGTGACAAGAGATGAGGCCTGCCCAGGAGCTGTGGTGACAAGAGATGAGGCCTGCCCAGGAGCTGTGGTGACAGAGATGAGGCCTGCCCAGGAGCTGTGGTGACAGAGATGAAGCCTGCCCAGGAGCTGTGGTGACAGGAGATGAGGGCCCAGGAGCTGTGGTGACAGGAGATGAGGGCCCAGGAGCTGTGGTGACAGAGATGAGGCCTGCCCAGGAGCTGTGGCATCTGGAGCCCCAGCTTCACTGCTGCTCTGTGACCTGTGTCATTTCCTCACATGAAGGGCTTGGAATGTATTTATTTTCCTGCCTATCATATACAGCCTGTGATTTTGTAACTTATCTGGTCTCAGAACTGCTAATGTCTTCTTGTGTACTGGAGTCAAACACCTGCTCTACTTGAGTCCTGGCTGTGGCCATATGGTGCTGGAGTGAGCTCAGGCTAGTGAAGGAACCTTTGAGTCTCTGGTCTTCTTGACGCTGGATTGTGAAATTGAGAGGAGGCAGCATGTAGGAAACTGCACACCTGGAATTGTGTATGTTGACACCATTGTTGTGAGATCATATGTAGTTCCATTCTGCTGTCTAGAAAACTGTTTCCTTGTAGTCACCCACCACCTCTGGCTCTTAGAATCTTCCTGCCCCCTCTTCCACAAAGATCTCTGAGTCTTTAAAGAAATAAATTTTGAGACTTCATCATATGGAATTAGGCAAAATATCGTCCTTTTCTGATAAATTCTTTCCTTGCCGAACTTGTCTATTTTCAATGTCTTTCTACTTTCCATGAGAATTCTGCATCCCATGCCAGCATCAGTTTTTGATGGAATGAAGCGGACAGTAAACAGATACCCACTATGCTAGAGGTGATTTTGTGCTGGATGAAGGGAAGAGAGGTGCAAGTAAGGGAGGTGGTGAGGCCTGGGTGAGGGGAGCTGCTGAATGGAAGTGCTCATAGAAGGCCTCTAGGAAGATGGCATTTGGACAGAGACGGGAGGGAAGTAGGGGCGAGCACTGTGGATCTTGGGCACAGAATATTTTGAGCTGGAGAAATACTGAGGACCAAGACCTCAGAGGGGAATATGTTGTGAGGGTTCTGAGAAGGCGTGGCCAGAAAAGGTGACATTGGAAAGTCTTTTCTTTTTAAAAGAACTAGAACATTGCAAAGATGTTGGAATACTCTGCTGACATGGTCTGTAACTCTGTTGTAGTCCGAATTTTTGAGTCAAAATCTCTGCAAAGCCCTGACAGGCTTGGAATTTGCTATGTAGACCAACTGGCCTTAAACTTAGAGTGATCCCTCTGCCTCTGTCTCTTAAATTCTGGGATTACAGGTGTGCACTATTTTACGTGGCTAACTTTGGGGACAAGGGACGCTTCTTTCTTTGTAGCATTGTTAGGGCCGGAGAGTTGGCTTAGCAGTTAAGAGCATTGGGTGCTCTTGCAGAAGACCCAGGTTTGGCTCCCAACACTCACATGGTGGTTAACAACCATCCATATCCAGTTCTAGGGGATCTGACACCCTTTTCTAATCTCCACAGGCATTACACGACATGGGTGTACTTATATGCAGGCAAAACAGTCATACACATAAAATAAAAATAAATTAAGAAAATTATGGTTCTTTGAAGCAGTGGTTGTCTGAATGCCTGTTGGTGTCAGTCTGGTCTGAGTAAACGAGTGTGATGCTTTTTATTCTACCCATTCATCGTCATTGTGTTTCTTGTCAATTTTCGAACCCATAGGGCAGTCTTAAATAGGTCTCTTTCCTTTTTCTATCTTTCTCCTTATTGTGAAATGTGGCTGGTGGTCTTTACTATATCTCTTGGGTACACTGCGTCACTTACTGGTAAAGTCCTTTGGAAAATTAGAAAACACCCAATAAGTATTTTCACACACAAAAATTAATAGATGATTTAAAAATCCCTTCTTGTTGATGAGCTAGAAAGTATCGTGTCCATAATTTGGTAAGACAGCGTTATTTCCTACCGCACCTGACGTCACAATGCTTTTTTGCTGCTGTAAGTAGCTTTAGACTCTGTTTCCACGGGAGTGTAATGAGAAAGGCCTCTGGAAGGAGGGTGAGCATAACCTCCTGTGCGCTCTTCAGCAGAGAGCAGACAGTTTCTCGTTGGCAAAGGCATATGAACATATGTGTAAGTGGTTGGTACCTGCTGGGAAAAGCAAAACCACACCATTGACCGAAGTTGAAGAACAATCACATTCTGGTGCAGGGATTCATAAATGTTTTTTTTGTTGTTGTTGCAGGTATTTCTTGGTGGATTTTTATGCCCCGACAACTGCTGTGGACAACATATTGGAGCACCTGTTTCGAGACATTGATGTGGTTAGACCGAATGTTGTAAAACACCCTCTGACCCAAGAGGTAAAGGAGTGTGAGGGCATTGTCCCGACCTCACTTGAAGAGAAGCTGTATTCAACGAAGAGGAGAAAGAAGTGAGAAAGAAGTGAGAGGAGGCGCCGTTTCCTCCCTCTCGTTTAATTCTAAGTGAATTCGGGTGCTGTTTGATCATTTTTCTGGGATGTTTTGCATCTTTATCCCCTGAGCTTCCAGAGGTGGGGAAGCTGCTCCCTGGGAGCTGCTCTGGCACCTGCGGTGACCCAGTAGACCAGTCTTGATACATTGGGTTGGTGTAATTTGTCAGCGAGGACTCCCTTATCATTGCAGCACTGTTTTCAAGAGCAAAATGTGTAGGTCCATTAAATTGTAAACTTGTCGTTCAGACTGTGTTGACATGCCAAAATGGATGGAAAACAGAGATCAGAGTAATAAACATGATTTACCAACCCTGACTGGTGTGTTGCGTCTGCCCCTGCCCCAGCACAGTGCATGCCAAAGCCTGGTAGCTCTTTCCTTGCTGTGATGTCCCAAGGTGTTAGGAGCACCCCGAAATTCAGGAACAAGGATAAGGGAAGTGGAGCTGAGTTCCTTCCTGGACTGCTGGGCAGTCTATAAAATTAGTGTGTGTGTGTTTTTTTTTCCTCCCACATTATCAGTGGCCACTGGTGGATGCTGCTCCTTCTGGAGGGGCCTGTGTGTTTGGGGCTGTTGGGCTCTGATGCTGCTTCCTGTCCTGTCTTTACCACTGTCTTCTACTTCCGCCACTGTTCTCAGCCTCAGGCAAGCCGTTTTTGAAGAAGGCAGTGGGATAGTGGGTGCATAGCTTCTCATCTTTGGCCTCTCCAGGGCTAGCGAACTGTGCAGCCCTTCTGTCTTCCCAGGGCTTAGTCATCATTGTAGGCGACAGTTGCTGTGGATGAAAGGCTCAGGGAACGTGCCCTTGCTAGGCTTGCTGGATGTGTTGATTCATACAGTCAAATTGTCTTAAAACAGGAAGGGAAGGACTAGGGACTAGAGATGTGTAAGTGATGCCACGGACCCTGACGAAGCTCCACACCCAGGGCTTCCTCTGCAAAGCTGCCCGTCTATGCTGGTCATTATTTGCCACTGTCCTTTCTCAGAGCCCACACAGTATCCTGCTTTAACTTCTCCAAGCAAAAACTATGTAAAGTTTGTCTGAAGAGCAGCAGATCAGTGGGGAGGATCATTAGGAACGTAAGACTCAAAAGGCATAGAGTAGAGGTTATCTGGAAGAGTACGCTACTCTATTCATTAGGAATCTCCGGAAAGTGAGTCTGCTGGGGCTCATGAGAGCACGCATTCAAGTCTGTGCTGCATCCCCTGTGTTATACCTCATTTAATCTTTTCATCTTTTCGAGGGAGCGTTGTTACCCCTGATTTTTTGACGAACAAGATTGACTCCGATTTGACCACGAACCCACAGTTAATCACATCATAGCTGGGAATTTGAATCAGGTACCCTGAATATCCTCCGGTCTTTCTGTCTTACAACACTGAGGTTGGCTTTACCCTTCTGGTGTCTGGGGTAAGTTGTCCTGATGGGTGGTCACATCTGTCCTTCAGCCTGAGAGTGGCTGCTTTTCTGCGCTGAAGATGATTGACACCATTGGGCATTGCAGGTCCTACAAGTGCTCAGAGTCCTGTGGCACAGTTAGTTTTGGGAAGCGGCCTGGCTAAGTAGGACAGCTGTGCAGTGTGTTACCTGCCCTCCTTGGATGCTTCAAAGTGAAGCCGCTGACCGTCTGCTCTGAGTGCACCCTTAGCAGCTTGTTTCAACTTCTGGCCAGTGCATGCCTGATGTTTGAGCCCATGCAGGTCATTTCTGGACTGTGTGTTTACTGTCAGAGCCAAGGGTCCAGACTTCTTTCCCAGGGTAAGGACGGTCTGAGATGCTGTTGTATTGCTTTTTCAGAGAGTGGCGACATACAGCAGTAAACAAATGTCTGTGTCCTCCTTGGAGCTGATAATTAGCTGGCAAGGCACATAGAATGTGTGTCGTGCCAGATGGGAATGTCTACTGTGGCAAGTGCAGAAGGTTTGAGAAAGAGAGGCCTGAAGAGCAAGGTGCCAGCAGAGGCCCTGAGTGGAAGAGCACAATGAGGGGGAATGGCAGGGGATCAAGGGGCTAGACCTGGAAGGCTGAGAACCCCGAGAAATAAGATGAAGAGATAGGAGGCCCCAAGGGCACCTGAGTACGGAAGCTCAAGAGGGTGCGTCTGATGGTGATAGTCCCTGTGGACTCACGTGCTTCACAGGGGCATCTTTCTTAGTTTGAAACCTTGACTATCTGTGCCAGCCTTGGACAGTCAGGCTCTTCTTCCACAAGTGCTCTCTGCGCCTTGACTGATACTCTTGGCTTAACCCAACCGCTCTTCATGACACCATTCTTAGACCCAACAGAGGAACTTCTCATTGGCATATAAGATCTGGAGGTCAGGGTGGCTCACATAAGTGATGTTCTTCCACACGACTGATCTTCGCAGATTTCCTTTTCCAGTGCTCAAAGTTCCTCGTCCACTTCCTCCGTGTCTCCTAAAACTTCCATGTAGAGCTCCTAGAGAGAAAACAGGAGTCCTTGTAATAGTAACGCTTTGTCAGTGATCTGCAAATAGTGGTCAGAGTGCAGGCCTGTGAAAGGCCGAGCATGAGGTGTTTCTGCAGAGGTGGGTGGCCACATGCAAGCCGAGACCCAGGAGGCTGCTGTCTATCTGTGGCATGTCTCTGGAGAGCCCTGCAAGTTGACAGCATTGTCAGCAAAGCCTGTACCGTGGAACAGCCACAGAGACGGTCTGTACTGATAGAACTTGGAGTCTGAGGCCTAAGCTATGTTCCCTGCTTCTGGCCAAGTGTGGAACTTGGGTGCTGGTCCTGGCCCACCTGGGGTACAGGACCAGGTGAACAGCCAGAGCTCAGTGTGAGTACTGCTCTTTCACCCCTCACAGCCAATCTCACACCACAGATAAGGTGCCAAGGTTCAGAGAAAATGCTTCACCCAAAGCCACAGGGGAGAAGTTGGGATTGGGAGCCTGTCTGCCTGATCCAAAGGCCATTTTTTGGACTGATACACCCTCCTGGAGGCGGGGCCTGTTGGCCTTACAGCCCAGTCCCTGCTGTGGGTGACCTCTTCCCCCGGACCCTTCCTGTCCTACACTCGGACTCAGGCCCCCAGGTCCTTCGTGTGTGAGTGGAACTGAGACTTCTTAAGCATGGTTTTCATTTCAGGCCTTCCGAGGGGAGCGCTGAGAACAGGAGAAATGGGTTTCCTGGAGACCAGGCCTCCTCCTGTTTGTTCTTGTCGGCTCCAGAACAGTCCTGTGGAGCTTTCTTTTCTGCAGGGTGCTCCAGGGGTGTATTTATAGAGTATTCATGACAGGTGCTGCCCCGGCAGGGTACAGAGATGCCATGGGCAGGGTCCTTGGCCTCCGGGCACTCATAGGTAGGGGAGGAGGTGGAAATACTCAGCTATGTAAAGTGGAGGCTATAATAAAAATGATAATTAAGGTCCAAACCAAGTGTGGTGGAAATGGAGGTGGGACCCAGAACTTTTGCCTCGCCCAAGGACACCCGGTGTAGAGTGAAGCATAGATCAGGGAGATGGGGAGGTGGCAATGTGTGTTTGGGGAGCTACTGGAGCAGATGAGTATGGTGTGGTATGACAGGACAGAGTTGACAGTGTTGGCACCATGGGCTGTCACTGGAGGTGAGACTGGGAAGTCAGGTTGGGTCCAGGCACCTTCTGCTGTGGACAGCGTGTGGCTATTAAAGGTTTCCTGGAGGGTCCTTTGGAAAAACCAAGAGGAAAACCTTCATCTTAGTGTGGTATAAGATATGCCTCCTACTTGAGCAGCGCTTGCCACCTGCACGCCTGTGAGGACGGAAAGGATTCCGCAGATTCACCAGGGTGGACGAGGTAGCGGTGCCAGCTAGAAAGTAGGGGTGCTTGCTCAGTGATACCCAGTTGAACAGGGAGTCCCTTGAAAGGTGTGTGGGAGCACTGAGAGGTACAGGTCCTTCCTTCTTTGTGTGGTTCGGGCTATTGCCATTTGTGTTAAGAGGCTGAGTGGAGAGACGGCTATACCTACGGAGGCCACGTAACTACCGTCTCCTGCCATCCTCTCTTTGTACTTGGGGATGATAAACGATGTTTCCATGGCAGTTTTTCAGGATTCTTGGTCACTTTGAAAAAGAAAATTAGTGGAATGAGCATAGAACTTTAGGTTGGAGTGGGCCCTGGTTTGCTACCTACTGATCACTTAAGCATGACAGTTTCTAATTGTCCCTCAGCTTCAGCATCCCCATGTGAAAACTAAGGCTGGTTCAAGCCAATCCTGTATAGCTTGCTGACAGCTTGTTCAGCCTGTGACTCTGAAACATGTAGTAAGTGGATAAGAAGGTAGGGGAGCGTTAAAGAGACTTCAGAGGCTTATTCTTTGCACAGCTTTCTTTCCTGATAAACATAGCTCCTTGCTCTGACTCTGGGCTCCTTGGCTGGTTCTCCCTCATTCCTCCTCTTCATGTAGGGTTATTCTAGGGTTAGCCTGTCTATTGTCACTTGTGATTTCACCCACCCATAAGTTTACATTATTATCTATTGGACTGGAGAGATGGCTCAGAGGTTAAGAACACTGCTGCTCCTGCAGAGGACCTGAGTTAAATTCCCAACACCCACATCAGGAAGCTCACAACTGCTTATAGCTATAGTTCCAGGGGATCTGAGGCCTCTGGCCTCTGTGCCTCTCCTCCCCCCGACACTTAA